AGATTATATTTGTAATTTTTTTTTTTTATAAATTCTTATAAACTCAATTATGCATTTCGGAGAATACAAATACTTAAATATATATTTTTTGAAATATATAATTGAATTTGTAAATAATTTTTTTTATAAAAAATATAACCCTCCTCATAGTTTTGAATAATATATATGGACTTGCAACTTTTTATATTGCATGAGAAGTTGGAGTTTTTTTAAGAGTGTGCATGAATATCATTCTATTTTTTAGCACTGTTTTTGAAAAGAAATAATTTTTTTCTATTTCTGCGTCATGAAACAGTTTCTGAGAAAAAAAATGTGTTTGATAACATGTTCTATTTTTATTCCGAGAATGAGAATTGTGTTTGATAACATAACATAATATAATAAAAAATAATTCTTATTAAATATAAAATATTTTTGGATCATCACTTTCTTTTCCTCATGGTGTGGTTGTGGTGGTGGCGGCGGCGGCGGTACAGTGGTGGTGGCAGTGACGTGGTGAAGATAGTGGTGGTGGTTGTGACGACAGTGGATGCGACGATGGCAGTGGTGGCAATGGCGTGGTGATGGTAGTGGTGGAGGTGGTGTAATGGTGGCGATGATGGTGGTGGTGACGGTAATGGCTGTGATGATGGTGGTGGTGGTTGGTGGCGGCGGCAGCGACGACGGTGGTGGTGACGATAGTAGCTGCGGCAATAGTAGTGATGGTGGGTGACATGGTGGTGTAGTGGTGGTGGTGGTGGTATTGATGGCGACGAGGGTGGTGTGATGGCGACGGTGGCGGTGGTTGCGATGATGGTGGTGGTGGTTGATGGCGGTAGTTGTGGTGGTGGTGATGGTGGTAGTTGTGGTGGTGATAGGTGAAGGTGGTGGTGGCATCGTGATTGTGAGGGGTGGTGACGAAGACACTAGTGGTACGATGGTGGAGAGTGATTGAGAGGGATAAGTGTTTCTCATTTTGTGCCCGGGAACAAAAAAGCAGAATTTTTTTGATTCTTTTTTCTGTTTCCCAGCACAAAAATTAAACCATCCCGGGAACAAAAAAATAAACCGGTTTTACCAAACGAGTTTCTTATCCATTTCTGTTCCCGGGAATAGAAATTAAAAAATAATTGATTCCGAGAAGGTTGTCATGCACACCCTAATTGCGAGAAAAAGGTGCGGGGTCCACTTTAAAAAAAATAAAAATGTAGCTGGCAGCCTGGCATGGACATCGAAGTGAGGGTGGATAGGATAAGATACTTCCCATGCAACATGAGAAGTTTTTCTCAATAAATAAATAAATAAATAAATAAATAAATAAATATATATATATATATATATATATATATATATATATATATATATATATATATATATATAACCACCAAACGCGTACTCTCATGTAACATGAGAAATCTTTTTCTCAATAAATATATATATATATATATATATATATATATATATATATATATATATATATATATATATATATATGAGTTTGCTTTTTCTGCAGTAAGCCCAATACAACGTCGTTTTGAACGGAAATCATGGTGTTTTTGTAATTTTAATTTATTTCACGGTTATAATAGTCTTTATATTAATAATTTTTTAAGATTTTAATACCAAAACGACGTCTTTTTGGGAATAAATACAGATAACTTATCTGCATTAACTGCAGAAATATCTTTTCCTATATATATATACAAAACCACCAAACGCGTGTATTGACCAGTCAGTGGCGAAGCCACACGTATCCTAGGTGTGGCCTCGGCCCGGGCTAAATTTTAATAATTTATTCTTATTATATATAATTAATTATAATTTGGCCCGGTTAAAATGGTAATTTGGACATGGCTACAATTTGTAATTTGGCCCTATCTAAAACTTAAAATATTTTTGGTGAAAGATTTGAGTAAATTGTATTAAGTTATGTATTCAATTCTCACTTGTATAAAAAAAAATATTTTTAGTCAAATAAAAATATTTAATAAAATTATAACTCTTCTTAGTGTTATCTGCTCAAGTGCTCCGTATTTAATATAATTTAAATATATTATATATGAACTAACTAAAATTTAAAAAAATAAATACACATATTTTTTTGCTCCAGGCTCAAATTGGAGCCTGACTCTGCCACTGTAACTAGTGATGGTTGTTCAAACTTAACAAATAATCTCGAATTTGAGTTATGGGTACACAATTATGTTAAAAATTTGGTAAGAAAAGTTGTATTGTTCTTACGGTCTTACCCGACTAGATCAGATTAATCGATTAATCGATTAATCAAAGAACTAGTGATAAAAAAAAGATAAAAATATAAATTATTAATATGAAAGTATCATGACAAAAAAATTTCTACGTAAATATTCGTACTCCCATAATATATAGACTTTTATTAAAAGTAGAGATTCACCTTATATTAATGATATAAGAGTGCATAAAATAAACATAATGAAAGTGATAACACTTTTTTCTAACTTTAGTAAGGTAATACATTAAGCAATGTTGTGAAAATCAGACCGGACCGGCCGGGTTAACCCAAAATCCAGTGAATCGATCATTTGACCGGTCCGGTTATCATATTGGATCAGTCAAGTATCAGATCCGGTACGACCCGGTGCGACCCGGCCGATTTTGATAAAAAATCGGTGACTCGGCCGGTTAACCGGTGACCCGGCTCAGGTTTTAAAAAAAAATATTTTAAAAAAAGGTTTTCCAAAAATAAATAAATCATAATTGACATATTTAAGTGATCTGTTACTTATTGACTTACATAAGTTATGTACCTACAATACTAATATTATCTCAGTTATGTATTATGCAGGAAATTTTGATTTGATAGTTAGAGATGTCATTTACTGAACCTGAAACATCAATATAACAAGCATTATGTGTTTGTTTGATCATTTATTGGATAATAATGTATAATTTATTATTTTTTATATTAAAATATTTAGAATTTCTATTATTTTTTTCAACTATTTGAATATATTTATAATCTTTTTAATACAAATTATAGATTTATATATAATCAATAATTGAATCAATGATCCAGTACTTCAACCAAATAATTGATCGGGCCGATTGTAATAATATTGACGTTAAGTTTTCAGTACTAAATTATTACTGACAACTTTTCCTAAATGTTTGAGCTTTCATGTGTCGAGTTCGAGTCCCAGGAAAGAAACTTAGGAAATGAACAAAGATTGCAGCAAATCACATAGGGGTGTTTGTTTCAAGTTTTTGAAGAGGATTACCGGTAATCCTTCTTTGGTAAATGTAATTATCACGTTTGGTAGAAGGAATATATTACGATTCTCGGATATCCAAGGATTACCGGTAATTTGATTTATAAAGAAAAGTCATTATTCAGATTACAAAAAATAACATGATAATTCGAAATACCAATCAGAATACCAAGAAAAGGGAAAGCACAACAATAAATTTTGAGATAAAAACACCCCAATACACATAAAAATCTAGATCCAATCTATCAATTACAAAAGTAAAAATAGTTTGGGGTTATTTTTGTAAAATAACCTCATATTCCAAGTCATATTTCGTTCTAAACCAAATATGGAATCAGTAATTTTTACCCAATATTCCCGGTAATATTTTGGCGAACCAAACACCTCTTTCGTAAGATTCCAAGTAAACTCAATTTCTACTGAATTCTCATTAATCATGATTCCCGGTCACCAAAAAATTTCTCTTGTACACCAAGGAAACTCGTTGTCATTCACATGAATTGCATCATGTGTTGGTTGACATGGAGATATTCACATAGAGTAGCAGACAATAGACATGTGAGGAAGGAGATATAGGTCGTCAAATAGTGGGTATAGATAGTGGCATCTAACTGATCCAGTACTAGCTCGGTGTTGAAGCTTGATCCTCTTGTCTTGTCACATGATTACGGAAGATTTTATTTCCCTTCTGTGCCCACAAAAACAACTCAAGAGAAAAGCGATTGAGAATCCATTATCTTGAGTTCGCACGCAACTAACAAGGAAACAAGAAAAAATGGTTTTTTTTTTTTTTTGGACTAAAGCTAAAAGTATCTCAAAATTATGAAGAACTCTAAACGAGTCAAGGGAAACGAAGCCCATAATCCAAGTTCATCGAAAGGGGACCAAAGTAGCAGCAAAACTGGGGCTTTCATTCACACTAAGAATTCCCTAACACGCCATACTGGGATAATAATTTTCAAATTATATTATTTTAATAATTTTTTTAAATACCACTTTTATTTTATGATTACTTTTGTCGCAGTAAATTAGCAAATTTGTTCAGTGCTGCATCTAGTTTTTCCCTTTAAGTGTAGCTTATTGGGATGAAGAGTGAAAATTTATGAATTTGATATTTTAGTCACCAGTTAATTTTTCTATCTGTCTTCTGGGTAAATAAAATTATCATCTCATGTTATTAAGCATCTATTTATAGAAATGGAACAAGGGAGGAAAAAGTGAACAATATGATTTTGTTCGATCAAGCAACTTATGACAAGTTGGTTACGCCTTCATTCTTATCTGACAGATTACGGGTATGTTCTGAGCTTTCTCAACTTATTTTCTTTATTTTTTCACTTGTAATTGCCAGTATTCAGTTTCTATTAGGACATTTTGTTGCTCCTGACTTGGCTGTTTATGCTTGTTCACATTATAGTTGTTATTTGTCATAGGAACTCATAAGTCTAGCTCATCTCTAATACAAAGATCTTTTGTTCTCTATGTGGGAGAAACGATGTGCATTTTCTGAATAACTACCAACTCTTTGTTAATATTTGAAAGTTTATGAATTAATACTACGTTGTAATAATGGTCAATTAATGATTGTTACATTCGGATTTACAGATTAATGGTTCATTAGCACGCAGAGCAATCAGGGATTCCATGGCAAGGGGATCAATTAGGATGATTTCTGCTCATGAGAGTCAGCAAATCCACACCCCAATTATTTTGTTATTGCTTCTAGATGTAGTATGGTGCTTTGCATTCAAAAATTTGTTCACAGAAGCTCAATTTGTCGTTGGCATATATATAAAGCAAACTAGACATAACATAGAAATAAGTTAAGAGGATTTCAAAAACATGAAACAGTTTCTACAGAGCACACTTCTGCTCCTTAGGGAATAAACGTACTCTAAACATAGTCCCCACATTTACATCCTAAATGCTAAGCAGTAAACAGGTGCTTCAGCATGAAAGCTGCAGCTCCACACCATACAATCGCTGACCCAGCATTCATCAATGTCCTTAGAGAAACAGACTTTTGAATTCACCATTTGCTAGTTGGCATAACTGATTGTAAGAGTTGGTATCTACAAAGAAGCCCGGATCAAAACCAATATAAGTAAAAGCAACAGAACAAAATTAGAAATACCAAGTAGTGCCTGATTCTGATTTTTTTGTTTTTACCATATTTCAAAAACTTTAAAAGCTTGATCTTTGATGTCTAGACAGGTAGGGGAAGAGAGCAATCATTCAATAAATCTAATTTCGGGGTTCTCTTAGTAAATAAAAGTTTAGAAGAATTTAGATGGAAGAACTCAGGGCCAGGTCAAATCCCTCAACTTCTTTGAGGATTCATGGGAGGAATTACAGATCATAACACCAACGAGATACTCACATCAACTAACAGGATTCGAACTCATGTCTTTATGGAATATGAGTCTAATCCTTAACCAAATACACTCACACTCGGGTTTAAGTAAAGAACAAAAATATGTTTGAAAAAGCATTTACTTTATTTGGATACGTTTCTCATTTTGAAATTTGAAAAAAAAAAATTATAAATGGATAATAACGAGAAAAAAAAAAATGATAGGTAAAGTTTGTAATACTTCGTACCAAATGAGTTGCCAAAGTCGGTCCATATTTCAGCATGAATAGACTGGTTACTTTCAGCAATACCAATGACCTCAACATAGTTCATAAGAGGGACTTGTGGTAACCCTTTTATGGTTAGCTGATTGTCATCCGTGGATTTTGCTGTGGTTACCTCACCATCAGATTCATTCACCTGAACCACTGCTCGCACTTTCTTTCCTATGAAATTGGGCAGCAACTGGGCATTTACAAATGCAGCAGGATTTGACGTGTCCATGGCCTGAAAGGAGAATAGAGGACCAATCAAATTGAAAAGAATTAAACTTTACTTGCCCAGCTTAAATAACTAAATTTTCGGCTTACAGGGTAATGATTGAATATATCACCGTGCAGCATGATCTTTCAGTTTTTAACTCATCCCATATTATGGTAAACATTGAGCATGTTAATAGGGGAAAAGAAAAAGGAAGAAAATGCATAGTGATGCCACATAAAGTCTAACAGGATTTTCCACAAACACGATATGGGCACAACTCAAAAGACATGGCAAATCGGAAAATAAAATGGTGCAATTAAAACTCAAAAGAACGAATTTGATGGGAAAGCGAGAATTCAGATTTACCGATCCTTTGAATGATTTAAGAGAAATCCTTTGCGTTTGCGTAGTTTGAGAGTCAGTATCACCAGTGCGCTCTCATGATATCTTTGTAATGTATGTATGGGAGAGCGGAAAAGGAACAAAGCGGGAATCGTTCATTGAACTTTTGTTCTTTGGCGGGAAACAAACGTAGTTGAGTTTACCCTTTTCTCCCCATTTCCAAATATTGATAATGAAAGACGTTTGTGATTTTAAATAGACACAACTCTTTCATTTTAATTGAAACTCTTTCATTTTAATCGAAATAACGTTGTTTTGATGCATAATTAATGATTATTTATTTATCTTCCTATTTTAGGGAGGAGAGAAAATATAAAAGATCATAAATATACTTCAAAATGATATTGATTTATCTAAAATGACACGTCTATGTTATTTAAAATGACAAATACTCTTTGATAATTATTGATAAAAAAATACGAGATTTTAAAGAAGGGCCAATTAATCTCAAATTCAGCCAGGTTATCAATTTAAGTTGAGTCTAATTAACATTTACATCTCTAAAGAGTATATTTATCTTCACATACTTAAACACTTCTCTTATATTTTTACAATTTTTATCATCTAATTACATACAATTTCACCTCATTTCTTGTACACATAAACCTTTGATTTTACCACATACGTCGCATGCCAGGTGATAAGTTTTTAGAAGAAGCATTTTCATCTTCGAATGGTATTCAGACATCTAATCCCTTGAAACTTGCGTAGGTTGGGCTTCTCAAACATGGGCCAAGCAAAAACTCAGGGAAAAGGAAAAACCCATACGAATCAACCATGGCTCCAGCCTTCGTGTTACCCACTGAGTCAACCTTATGTTATTCTCGATTTCAAGAAGCTTGATCCTGTTGGACCAAAAAACTAATGGGTAATTCGATGCCATTTTAGTTAGGTGCAGACATGGTTCGGTTCGAACTTAGTGGTTTGGTTTGAGAAATTGAATCGGTTTTAATTTCTTACAAACGAATTTTGTTCTGAACTGTTTTAGAACTCTGGAGTGGACCGATTTTAAAGAAAAAAAAAAAAAACCGATTCAACTGTTTTATTCTCAAATTGGTTCTAATAAAGTGATATGGTTTTTGAACCGGTTCGGCATAAAATTATTTCGGTTCTTAAACCCGGTCCGGGTATCATGACAACACATGAGCATATACGCTTAGGCGAGAAGGGCAGGGACTAAAATAAAAGCCATCACAAACAACATAAAAAAAAAAGCAGGGGAAACAAGAGCCACACGAAAATGGCCAAACTTTTATTCCTGCAATAACAGGCATATCACTATAACAAGCAGCTGCAACTGCAAGAGTAGAAATCTTCTAATGCATCACACTGCATGTGTATTAGGATATTATTATTACTAATTAGTGTTACTACCAATATCATTACCAGTTTGTTTCACAGTTAAATCAATTATATTGATCCAACGATTATATGGTTATGATTCACATTAAATATGGAGAATCATAACCATACAAAGGTAGAAATAAATATAAAGTATTAAATATAAAGAAAAAAAATAAAAAATTTTATGAAGTTAAATGAGAACTATTTGATCAACAGTTGACATTCACAATATCCTATCTCTTCAAACTATATGATACCATAATAATAGTAGTACTCTCAAGAAACATATGTCCTATAATTCATGTACTTTATTATTTACTGACACGGTTCTAATCCCTAGAAATTACCTGGTTCAAGCTTCGGACAAATTTAGAATGATTCAAAAAGATAAATAAACACCAACATAGTTTCAAAATAGCTAGCTACCATGACACATAGCAAGGCATATATCATCACTTAGTAGAGATCTTCTTCTTTATGGGTGTAAATCACACAATCTGATGTTGGGTATGAGGTACATGTCAGAACATAACCCTTCTCCATTTGTTGATCATCAAGAAAGGATTGATCTGATTGATCCACAGAGCCTAAAACCAGTTTACCTGCACAAGTTGAGCAGGAACCTGCTCTGCATGAATAAGGTAACTCTAATCCAGAATTTTCAGCTGAATCCAGAATATAAGAGTCATCAGGGGCCTCAATTTCGTTCTCTACACCATCTGGTCCAATCAGTTTCACTTTATATACTGCCATCGCAGAAACTCTAAAGGATGATGATGATTTTGATCCAAATAGTTTAGACACATTCTTCACACAGCTCAAAGTTGATGAACTCTTAATAAGAGCACAAGATCTTTTAAAGGGTGCCCTTCTAGACCAGGAAGCTGTTTGAAGTCTCAGAGTGGATGTATTCACAACTGACATTTTTACACCTGAATTCAAAGAAATATAGATAAAATGTTTTTGTAGGATTAGTCACATAGAAAACAAACTATAAGTAGCATGTTTGGAAAGATTATTTTATTTTTATTTTTTTCAAAAGCTCTCTCATGAAACTTTTGATGATAAACTTTTTTGGCCCCAAAATAAGTTAATCCAAACAGACTAAACCACATTAATAGAAATAGAACATATATGTATCCAAAAAAGAAAAAGAAAAAGAAAAAAAAGAAATAGAACATTAAAGAAAAGGAAAAAAACAACTAGGTGAAACAAAAGTCAAGGTCACTCAATTATCCAGACAGAGGAGACCACCAGATATAATCCCCAATAAAACGAGAGTCGGTGTCTCTCTCACACACACACATACACACAAACAAGCACAACATTTTTATCATGTTCAATCCAAATCCAAAAATCATGAAAAGATATGCCAAAAGGAAGCAAAAAGAAGTTGCGCTAAGAGGCTTACGGTTAAGTGAAAGACAAAGAGGCTGGGAAGTGGGAACTTTGACTGAGGGAAAATGAAAATGTTAGATACTTACTTATATACATAGGGGGAGAGAGAGGACAGTGACCTTTTGAGTGTTCGGTGGGACAAAAGAAAGGTCAGGTCAAATATTTCTGTCCCACTTGCCCTTTGCAGCCTCTTAGAGTTAACTGAAATTCTTTTTTGGTTTTGCTCGCAATCACCATTAATAAGGCCAAAATGAAATGGTGTATATGGATTGAATTAAACTGAATTTTTTGAACAAACGAAATAAATTGGTTTAAATGGTTTCATTCAAAACCGATTCGATTCAAGAATAGTTCAGTTTGGTTGGAAATGTTCAGGGTTTCAAATTCAACGTTGGCAACTAAACATGAGGGTTGCGCTCGTTGCGGGACTTAATCCAACATCTTACGACACGAGCTGATGACAGCCATACACCACTTGTGTTCGCGTTCTCAAAAGCACTCATCTCTTTCAAGAGGATTCATTGCATGTCGATCTTATTCTGGAAAAAAAATTAAAAAAATAAAGTAAGAAAAATTAATTTGATTCGGTTCAAAAATGATTTGATTTGAAAATGATTTGGTTGTTGAACTGGTTTTAAAAATTAAATCGGTTCATGAATTGATTCTTTAAAAACCGATTTGATTCGTGAACTGATTTTTAAAACCGATTTGATTCATGAATTAATTTTTTAAAATATCAATTATTTTACATTTCAATTCAATTTTTTGGTTATTAAAATGTGCGTTACTTGGATCAGCTTGTGACTTGTATATATATGTTAACGGGGAATTGACTCTAATCTTGTTTTCACAGGATTATGTTATATGCAACATCTTACTCATTTATTCACAAACCAACTTCAAATATATAATTTAAAATTTTCATTTCTGATTGTTAATTTGTGACTAAATGATTAAATTTTCTCACATGGCGTAAGAGTTTGATATTTGTCATTTTAAGAGCAGTTGAATATAAATATATTTTAACTAAATTTTAATTTTATTTAACTATTATTTTTAAATAAACATTTTATTCATATGAAATCATAATTAAGTTTAAATTTTATAAAATTATCAAAAATAATTTTTTAATTGACATAAATTTAATTCAACAGATTAGTCTAAATAGCCATGTGGTTAGTTTAACCAAAAAATCATGCTTGTTAAGGATTAGTCAAGCGGAATCAACTACATGCCAATAAATTTGACCTTCGCAATTTTTAATGAGGTAAAATTTTGCAATTTTAAAAGAGTATATTTGTTCCTGTATTTAGAAAATAATCGTTATTATCACTAGGGTTAGCCTAGTGGTGTGGGGGGTATGTGTTAGAAGTGTGTATAGTGTAAGGTGTTGTGTTCAATTCCTTGTAACCTCCACACACAAAAATAAAAATAATCGTTATTGGGGTGCTAATTCCATTTTTAAGTTTGGAAAGAGCGTATCTCCTTGAATAGATAAGGATGCTATTTTCAATCTCAACTTTTCCTATATAATAAATTTGTTTATAAAATTAAATCGTGATTATAATTTATAAGGTAAAGAATTTCTCCGGTCAAAGGAGAAAAATTATATCCAACGAATCCAAAACGATATCAACCAATGGGAGTATTGTGTAATTTTTTAATTTTATAACCCAAAACGACTTCGTTTCGAGCTCACTGAAGATAATTTTAATTTCAATGATTGAAGAAATATTTTTCCCTAACTTTTTTTATTTATTTATTTTGATAGCCAACTTTTCCCTAATTTATATCCTATTATACGATAGAAATTTAACTTCAATTTAGTTCTTTTTTTAAAAAAAAAAAATTAGAACTAAAACACACACACATGCACTAACCACGTATCTAGATAAAAAGAGTTTTTGAAAATTAAAAATGATAAGTAAATGAAAATTTGAAATTATAGGAACAACAGAGAAATTAATATATGTTACGATCCAAATATTTATGTATATTAATCATTTAACTACATTTATAAATTATAACTTCATATATTATAATTTAATAATAAATAAAAATAAAGATTGTTTAATATTTTTTGGTAAAAAAGTTTCCTTTATTACTATTAGAGAGATATATATTTTCATTATTTTATGTTAAAAGTCCGAATAAAAATAGTAAGGAATACAAGATAAAACTTCAGAAGGAACTAATAAAACTCGACACACAATTTTACATGATAAATTTCCCGCATGTCTATCGTGTCCTTAACAATTTCAGGAAAGACAACAACTAAACCATATGCTATGAACAAATTGAGCTTTGAATCATAGACAGTTCAACAGTTGACATAAATCATAACTTACCAGCAAACTACACTTGGAGTCATTATTCGTGGGCATATTACACAATAAAATGATGTCTGAGACGTTCCAGCTTCTCATAACATGTAATCCCACTATTCCACGCGTAGTTTCGAGAAACATGATGATAAAAGAACAAGGAGAATCTACTGTTTGGAAAACCATCATACAGTGAATTGACTAAAAGAATGAGATTTACTCAAGGAATCCATACCCAAATCTCAATGCTTCTTCGGCGCAGATAATCGGTGTTTGGACCATTCTTCAAGCGCCTTGCGATGGAGACCATTCATCCTAATGTAAGGCCGTTTTTGTTTGATCAGCTTCTCAGCATTTTTCCAATCCTCTGTGATACCTAGTGCCACTAACAGGGCACACATAACAGCAACACTTCTTCCATGACCTTTAACACAGGTAAAAGAAAGAAAAAAAAAAGATGAAGAAAGTTATATCATGTTCTTAAGCAAGCATAATAATCGGTCATGAAACTAACTCAGTTTAATATTGATGCCAGATTTTATAGGTCTGATAAACGATTTACAACTCTTTTCATCAGAAGTTGAGGATACAATGTATTCATGAAGCAATTTCATTATGTGTATCCTTGCTTATTTTAAGTCAAATGTGGAATGTGGACATATCGACCTATGGGAGTTTCAAAATATTTAAATACCACATCTTGCCCGTCAAAACACAAAAAGTTTAAGTCAGCACATGGGACTATGCACAGACCTAGGGACATATGATAGTTTCACTTTTCTGTATGCCTCCCTCATCTCTGGAGGTTTGCTCTACATGTATTATAGTATTATGACCAGACTGAGGCATAAACAAAATGAGTATAAAGGTAGCATTTAAATTGTCATGTAATTCTACCTCATTAATAAAATTGTGGCTGTCACAACCCTTCATTGCCCATTATTCTTCTAACTAAAATTAATATCTTTAGATTTGCAGCTTAAGTAGTGATAGTAATAATGAAAGAGCAACCACAAAGTGGTAAACACCCAGTAAATAGGAATGGGAATCGTTAAAACTCAATGCATTAAAGAATGGGTTATACTCCCAATAATGAAAGTAGACCAGTGATCTTAATATGGACAACTTGTGATCTTTTTCAACAACATTTCCCACCTTTTAAAGTTCAGACTTAGCAATGACCTGATGCTAAGTGACCATTTGTTTTTCAATATTCAGATGACATATTTGGCTCCATTCCTAATTTTCATTTTCCCTTTTTTCTCTTTCAGAATAGGGGGAAACAAAATCCACTTATCAAAACAATACAACATGTCTTTGCGTCAATTTTGTTGAATTTCTTATACTAGGCAGCTGTATAAGCTCGTGTAATACTCCAATACAGAACCCTCCAAGGGCATACTTAAATGCACAGAGATAGAACAAACTTTGCCAACATCAAAACTAACAATTTTCTTCTTGTTGAGCCCCAGAATTGCATTTACTAATCTTCACTATGCAAAATCGTAGAGTCAACCTAAGATAAGCTACCAGAACAATATGAAGATCACCCAAAATGAACCTTCATCAATGAAGCCAAAGGCCACTTCAATGGCACTGTTATACAACACCCAAAACTTGCATTATTGTCATAATCAGATTGTTTCTTCCCATGATTGTCTCAATTCTATGTACTTTCCTCTTGGATGCTGGGTTCAAAAGATCTCTAAAAACTTAAATAAATGGACGGGTGCTTTTTACTCTTTGGTTGGTTAGATCACTCTTATTTGAACTGCCAGTCCAATATTTCCCTTTATTACCTTTCCCTTTCCCAAATCCCAGCAGGAGTCATTCAGAGGATAGAGAAAATTGTAAGAAACCTTCTTTGGTCTGGTGTGCAAGCAAAAAGAAGAGATCAGTTTGATAGCTGGGAGTTTTATTCCCAGCCTATGAATGAAGTATGATTAGGTCTTTATATATCTTAGAATTTTCACTTTTGCATGACCACAATGTTAGATAAACTAGGAGTCTAGATTTCCTTCTGCTTTGAAGGTATATTCATCTGTCTTCCAATTTAGATAGGAAAATTTGGACTTTTGGATTCGTCAAGTGCATTTACTTGTCAGTCTATTTCTTCAGTGTCTAAACCATTCTCTTATCATCAGAGGTTTCTCTTTAACAAACACATTTGAAAGTTCAAAACTCCTCCTAATGTCAAGTCTTTTGTTTAGATAATGGTAGTTAGTAGGACTAATAAAAAATGAAAGAGAGAATTAGTTATCATATAATTGTCTGTTGAAGAAGTTACAAGGTGAATATGAATGTTTACTAGCTAAAAAACTATCACTTCAAAGGTTGTAAGTCACATAATATTTCATAACCAATGTAGACAAACGACTAGCAAATGTGAAGCTCGAGAAGGCACTCATCATATGAAAGACAAAGAATTATCAATAATACAAGGAAATTCTCAATTACTTGAAAAAATTTATATGCATAAGACATGTCATACGAAATATGATTTATGCATACAATAATTAAGATTGGATGCATGAAAAAAGAGGCTCACTCATAGGATCATAGGATTCAAAATCAAATAAGCAATCTCCATGATATTCTGGCTTAAAAAGAACTCCAATTGACAATCTATTACCTATCACCAATTAAATTAGCATGCCTTGCCTACCCTTGTGCAAATATGATAACAATACAGAAGCAACAGAAGAACAAACAAAAACAAAGTGAAGAGTGCTAAACACTAAACAGCATTGAAATAAAATTCAGTATTGAACTCCAACAAGAAGATGGCAAAGTTAGTTTACCATAAGCACAGTGGATAAAAATGGGCCTATTGAGGTCTCTCTTTCTACAAGCCCAGTTAACAGCAGATTCAATATCATGAGGTTGAGGAGACCTAGTGTCCCAAGTTGGAATGCACCTATATGGCAACCCAGCAGAGACATTCATCAACCTCGGAAACTCACAAGTGCAGTCAATGATGGCAGGATCACCAGGTGGCAACTTGTCACGTGAAGATGGCCACCCACCAACATAGAGACCCTCGTGAACTTTGGTGTAAGGAGCTTCTCCGCTTCTCATTCTTCGCAGTGTTGAGAAGATTCGAACGAAGTAGAGATAAGGACTGAACATGATGAGTGACAAAATGGGGAAGGTGCCATCAGGGTTCTTCCCCAGAAGCATTGGAAGGTCAATGGATGGGTGTGATGCTATTGAAACCAACATTGACACCAACGAAGCGTACAATAAGGGTATAGATAAGACCGTGAAACCCAGATTTCTTAGGTACGCGAAAAACAGCAACAACGTAGCTGCTTTTAGTGCTATCAACACTGATATTCCCACACCCATCTTCTTCTTCTTCTTCTAACTTCGATTCAGATGTACAAGCTTTACTTTACCAACAACAACAATAATAATGGAATTGAAGATTGTTTCTCGAAGATGAAAGCACTAATTGCAAAAATTCGTAGTCCAGACCGAAAATGAACAAGTTTAACCTAGAACCCTGAAAGAGTCTTCGATAACCGCAGAACAAGAAGCAGAGGAAACTCGATGGATTCTTTTCTTCCTTGTTCCGTGATGTCTACGGGAGAAAAAAAAAATGTGTATTTGATTTGTAAATAAAATATTCTTTTTAAAAAATATGAAATAATTTTAGAGGTAGATTATAGTTACAACTACTTTTTTTACAACCTCTTACAATTATATCTTAACACCGTTGATTTCTGTCAATCAACGGTTATCATTTATTGTGAATTAATAATTAATTAATGAGTTTAATTTGTGAAAATCATAACCGTTGATTGGCGGAAATCAACGGTGTCAAGATATGTTTGTAAGAGGTTGTAAAAAAAAAGATTGTAAGTATAACCCACCTCATGATTTTATGTTGAAATTTCATCTTTTAGATTTTTTTTAATTCGGGGCAAAATTTATATGATTTTAAATAAATAAATACATAAATTATTTTGCCTTTATAAGTCTTTTTATATTTCTTATGAAGATAAAAATGTAAAATAATAAAGTCAATGGGAAAAACATTTGCCATTTTAGATTAAGGGATATGTTATTGTGCCTACTCCTATTTTACCTACTTTTGCCTACCCCTCTCAATATCGTTGGATTACAATCTGATCCAACGGTTCAGATTTGTAAAATAAAATAAATCATTTTATCTCCTTTCTCTCTCCTTCCCTTTCTCTCTCCTCCCCCTTCTCTCTTCCTACGCTATACCTAATTGAAATTTTTATGCCCTTCATCGCCGATGTCTGCCGCGCCTGCTGTGAAGCATTGTAATTTTTAATTGCTTCTCCTATTTTTTCCCTGATTCATTGTATTTCTGTATCTCTCTCTATTTTTTTTATTTACAATTTTCATGTTTTAACGCTTTGGTACATTTTCATTGCTGATTTGGGTTTGGCTACCTCGAAAACATCCAAGGCCATTTTTCTTGAGCAATTTGGATCTATCATTTTCAACGCCAAAAACCATAGAAGCTACCTCGAAAACACACCATTTTTCTTGAGCAATTTGGGTATCTTCATTTCTTCCAATTCAAAGTTTGCGTTGCAATTGTAATTGTCATAAAATTTTGTAATTGTTATAAAATTACACAAAGTTTGTGTTGCTGTCCAGTTTCCTCTCTGATTCCAGCAGCTGCAGATGCATAATTGACTCCTTTGAGTATATCTCGGCCCCTAGTTGTTGCATAGGGAGATATGTAACCATTGAACCCCAAAAGCTCAACTGTTTTATTTCAACAGAAAGTTAGACAAGAGTGAAAGATTTCATGTACTTACATTAATATAGAACTAATAAATAATCAATTTTATCAACCAGATTAGCTCATATTTTTTCTCTCATTGTTTCATTTTACTAAATCAGCATTTCTGGTTAATAAACAGAAAGCTTGATAATCTTTGCATTTTGTATATGTAAGTCTTGATAATTTTGGTACGCCTCATACTAAACAGAAAGCTTCAGAAATTTATGTCTATATCTTGATTTGGTCCTGCCTGTCCACATACTTGGTTTACACTATCTGATTCTCTCATTCTCTCTGCACTTTTTTATGCTAGTGTTCTAGAGTTCAGCCTATATTCAAATTTAATTTCAGTTATCAAAGGCATGCGTTTATCCTCGATATAGCTGTGCGTATATTCCTTTCCATGTTTTCTCAGTATGGACCAAGATTTTCTAGATTTGTTTGGTTGGTCCACATTAGCTGCTTTATAAGGGAGCATTAGATTGCAGTGTTCAATATATAGTGATGCATGTTAGATGGCAGACTAGTGAAACTTTTTGTTTTTTTGTGTTAAGGAAATCATTATTACCCTACTTTGGAAGGGACAATAGTTCTGATTTGGCTTGTCATCTCTAACTCTAGTAATATCCCTTTTTTCCCCATTAAGTTAGCAATTTAGATTTGTATACAGAATGTCTGGACGCACTTGGTCATTTGCATCAAACAGACAGGCCAGTATTTTCTGGGAAAGAAAAGTATGGTGGTCGTCTTTTTATGTCCTGCATATCATAGTTTTATTTACTCCCTTTTCATTTTTTCTCTCATTTCATATGGATAAGCTTATTGCTTAGTTTATCTTCAATTGATAGTACGGCCTATGTGAACCAATGACCATCAATCACATTGGCGATGAAGGGCATAACCAATGACCATCAACAAAATTGTAAATAAAAGAGAGAGAGAGATACAAAATTACAATGAATCAGGGAAAAAATAGGAGAAGCAATTAAAAATTACAATGCTTCACAGCTACAGGCGCGACAGACATCGGCGATGAAGGGCATAAAAATTTCAATTAGGTATAGCGTAGGAAGAGAGAAGGGGGAGGAGAGAGAAAGGGAAGGAGAGAGAAAAGAGGTAAAAAGATTTATTTTATTTTACAAATCTGAACCGTTGGATCAGATTGTAATCTAACGATATTGAAAGGGGTAGGCAAAAGTAGGTAAAATAGGAGTAGGCACAATAACCTATCCCTTAGATTAAACAACATTGTTATATTTGACATATTTTACATTCTCTCCCCTCCATAGAATTAAATGCAATGCCTGAAAATTATTATTCTTGTATGAAAACTGAGCTGATGAAGATGGACTGGCTCCACCTCCTTGATTGTAATATATAAAATCATTATCCCTTATCCTTGAAACGAAGAGGGAAATGAGGATGAAAAACCTTATGCAAACCACATTTAAACACATCTTAAGCATGTTTTCCTCATCAAGGCTGAAACATACATATAAAGGGTTCATGTGATTTTTATGCTTTCCAATGTCTATGCTTGCATCGAAGTATATTTCATCAACCAATATCCACTAATCAATATTAAGACAACCCATGAGTCATAACCCCCGTTAACATGACATTAAGCAAGCTTCAAACACGCTTCCAACATTATATTTTTGCATGATGGCTGAATTGATGTCTAAGAAGGTTCATGCAATTTACATGCTTCAAATGACTAATCACTTGGTCCATTCAATATTACACTAACCAAAGACCACTAACCATCATCAAAACCAAATTAAATAAGCTCCTTGCATGATATTAGTGCCGACAAATAGAGCTTGATCGAGTAAAAACCTTTTCTTTTCCCACTTGATCTTTCCAAAGTCAAGTTTATACACAATAAAATGCTTTGTATAAGGGCAAGGTGAACACCAAGTGATGATAAAAGTATATGTTTCATCTACTACCACTCGTCAACGTTGACGAAATTCCCAATATACCTCTTCACCAACAAAAACTCTCATTTTGATATCACCAAGTATACCTGTGTTGAAAATTTATCTCTTGAAAATTCTTTGTATTCTTCCTCATCTTTCTCAATGGTTGGCTTTACATTTAAGACCTTTATTGGAGTTTTGTGACAAATATCTCATCCTTCAATGAAATCGTCTGTTGCCAAAGCGTAAAGATAATTGTAGCAAAAAATAATGTCACAATAACAACCATTGCATCAGAGAGTTCAACCCATGAGTCAGCAACACATAAGACAAGCTTACATTGGTATCCATACAATATGGCAAGAAAGTAATGCGAATGAGAGGCATAACCCATGGACACAAATTTGTTTACAAAGGTTTTCCTTAAATCTTCGGCAAAATAAGAATGTGTGATGTTGGAGGCCAAGAATGTATGGAGAAATGGTGGCAAATGAATGAAATAATTAGATGAGAGGTGAGGAAGAAAAAGGTAATCATCCATGTATAAGACCATGAGCCAATTGTTAGAAGAACTAACATACCATGCATCTTCATTAAACATGTTCTTCCGCTCATAGCTTTTGTTCTTTACAGACAGCACAAGAACTTGAACAAAAAGTATACCTGTGTTGAAAACTTATCTCTTGAAAATTCTTTGTATTCTTCTTCATCTTTCTCAATGGTTGGCTTTACATCTAAGACCTTTCTTGGAGTTTTGTGACAAATATCTCATCCTTCAATGGAACCGTATGTTGCCAAAGCGTAAAGATAATTGTAGCAAAAAATAATGTCACAATAACAGCCTTTGCATCAAAGAGTTCAACCCATGAGTCAGCAACACATAAGACAAGCTTACTTTGGTATCCATACAATATGGCAAGAAAGTAATGCGAATGAGAGGCATAACCCATAGACACAAATTTGTTTACAAAGGTTTTCCTTAAGTCTTTGGCAAAATAAGGATGTGTGATGTTGGAGGCCAAGAATGTATGGAGAAATGGTGGCAAATGAATGAAAGAATTAGAGGAGGGGTGAAGAAGAAAAAGGTAATCATCCATGTCTAAGACCATGAGCCAATTGTTAGAAGAACTAACATACCATGCATATTCACTAAACATGTTCTTCCGCTGATAGCTTTTGTTCTTTACAACACACGAACTTGAACCAAAAGTTTGCCTGAAAGCAAACCTCCTCTTGCCAAACTTTCTTAGCTCACAAGCAAGCCCACAACAATACTTTTCCACCAAAATATACCAAAATCTTGATGGATAAGAACCAATGGTCTTCTCAATCACCAAGGCCAATGCCTATCCTTCCATCAAGCAATCTACTTGCTTCAATCTACATAACCACACAATCCAATAAACAACATACAACTTGACATTACAAGTTATATAAAACATGAACATATTTACTTTATTCATGGATAATTTTCGGCCTATACATACAATAGACCAACAAATCATTCCATTCACATCCACACGACCTAGGAATCCCTAGTATCATGCACACCACATTTAAACATATCTTCAGCATGATTTCCTCATCAAAGTCAAAACGTTTATATAAAGTGTTCATGGGATTTTTATGCTTTCTAATGCCTATGCTTGCATCACAGTATACTTGTAACACCCCAAATTCTAACAATTTATAATAGCATAAATAAATTCAATAATTTTATAAATAACAGCGGAAGTTCAAAATAATCAAATTTGGGAAGTGTTACCGCCGCACTTGTACAAGGACAAGTGCAAGGCTAACTCTATTACATTCAAATAAAAATCTAAGACTACAGTTTTTTTTTTATACATAATATTTATGACAGCTAGAAATATCCGAGTCGTGATCCT